TATTAGTCTTGCCAGAGTTTAGTAGAATCAGCAGAACAGACCACAAGGGCTCCTTGCCAAAACGTAACTGACAGATATATTTGTGCAGCAGACTAGGTATGAGATTCAGAGATAAAAACTCAAAAGTGCACCAGGTTTTTGCAGATCCTGTGAAACTTCACACTGATCTTCATGGAATCTGAGGTGGCTGACCATAATCGTCGGAACTGGCACTCCCTGCAGGCTGAACAATAACATTGTCTTGCTCCGATTTCCAAAGTATAGGTGTGACAAGGAGGGTCGTGGACATTGCAAGTCTTAAAAAGTGTTCATTCTTTCAGTAAGGCCCCCTTGTCAGTGTTCTCTATACAAAACCATGGGAAGAGATGAAATCACAGTGAAATTGCAATAAATATGTGGTGAAGCTTGGAGAGAAATAGAAAGGCTTGATGTGAGCCATGTGAAACTGAAAGCATAGCAAAAACCTGCAAGGTGTAGTAGGCATATGTAAACCACAGGGTGCAAAACAACATGGAAATTTTATGTGGTAGTAATGCTCTTCCTATGTTGACCTTTCTCTCCAGAAAGTTTGGACTGTGAACTTCCCCTTCTTCTCCACTTGGATCAGTGCGGCTCGTTATACTGATGATCTTGGTTTTTTTAAACCTTATTTTTATTAAGATGTTTCTCTCACACAACTACCAGAGAAATGATGGGCTGCTTATCTGGAACTTCGTGATCTATCTCCAAAAATGACATCTGGCACCGGTTTGGTGAGGTGTCTTTATGCAAATGTAAGAATGTGGAAGTTTAGTTCACCACGCATCGCTTTACGTGCTGAACTCCAGCGTGGATTTAGATTAGGAATAAAATCCAAAATGCATAACTACTGTATGTCCCTAAAGCTTGTGGAACCCATAACATGATATACAAATAATGCGAGATTAGAAGTCTCTTTACGTGGTTCTGCCTTCATGCCATAGTTCATATCTGTGTACATCAAGAGTTAGCTCATATCCATTCCTTTAATTTATACATGTCTTCTTTGGACTTGTTCACAACGTAATAAGCACAAAACCATGAGAGTTTCTTCGCATTAAGATGAGCCGCCACTGACAGCTGTTTTGTCCTTGCTGCTCATCATTGTGGTATGGTTGTTTCTCCTTTCTAGCATTCTGAAACAGTCATGGGGACTAATTAACTTTCATATCTTCCATAGTTACTGCCTGTCTACAAAATGCCCTAGGATGCTCTAGCTTTTTAGCTAAGACAATGCAGCCTAACACTTGCATTAAGCGCCTCCTTTTCTTCGCCTATTTCGTGCCCCCGAAACTCTGCTCATAAAAATTAAAGAAGCAGACCGAAACATTTCTCCCTCCTCCCTGCTGATCAGGCAACAGGCTGTGTGTGTGGAAAGAAAGGAGCTGCCTGGATCAACACGTGACCAAAACAATTGGCGCTGGCTCCATGGGTTTTATATGAGTGGGCATCTGGTGTTTTCAAGGAAGAAGACAATAAAATCCCCCCTCCTCCTCTTCCCCTCTCTCTCAGCCCCACTGCCATCTGTGCTACCACACTCAATACCCCCCCCCCCATCACCACCAACCACCAAAAGAAGGAAGATGAAAGACTGTTTCAATAGGAGGGAGAGCGCTTTCCCCCAGACTCTGTCGAAACGAGTGAAAAACCTCGGGTTCTGTCATTAAAATCTTCACAACTTGCCACCGAGCAGCGTGTGCAAAAGACGCGCAGCGCTCCCCAAACTGTGTCGAGACAAAGGAAGAAAGGAGATTAATTCGAAATAAGGAATCGGCGAATCACTGGGGGGGGGTCAAACCCAGTCCATTCTGAAAGCAGTCGCTTGAGGTGGGTGGAGGGGGGGGGGGCGCATCTGGAAATCAGGCAAGACCCAGTGCAGAGGTATTCAATTTCCTGGTGTGTTTGTCTTCGTTTAAACCAGGCAAGGGTTGAACAGGAGTAAAGGAAAACTGCAGCACAAAGACATACATGCCAGGGAGGCATTGGAATTCTAATTGAATTCAATCATTTCAGAACCTTTGTTGGATTAGAGGCTAGACTAGTCAGCAATAAGAGCTACTGGACACACCTGGGAAGAGGAACACAGATGCTGGCCATGCAGGCCCTAGCTGTCATGGGAGTGGACAACCATGTAGACAAACAGCAGGTTTTGTTTGGTTTATCAAACCTGTTAGACCCCTTACAGTTTACAGCACAATAAAATGCAGTCTGAGTGTGAAAAATTTTCCCAGCTTCATCTGAAAGGCAGTTGGTCTTTGGACTATGAGGCAACCTTCATCACACAAACAACAAGGCCTACACCCATAGTTTTTACTTTAACCAGATAAGCACTCAGAACAATTTCTCATTTACCAACATTACTGTACTGTGAGTGAAATAGTTCCCTTAAGGATACAACAGCCACATCCTCAGCCAAGCTTCAAACCCACAGCCTTCCTTGAGTCCAGGACCCTGACCACTACTCCCCATGTTGGTGTTGTCTAAAATAAAGTAGCAAAAACATATTACAGCACCAAAACTAAATAACATTGCAGCAATATTTTTTCTAGCTCACAATTAAAGGTGGCTGGTTACTCATTTGAACCACTTTCAGGAAGGTGGTGGCGGAGCGCCGTTGTGTATTGAAGGCCAGAACAGGCCGAAAGGAAATTCTGGGAAGCAGTGAGTACCTGCAGACAAGGTGAAGGGGGAGCTGAGCAAGACTGAGATCAGGCAACAGCTGAGTGAGACTGAGACTTGGAATTATTTTTGCCACACAGCAATCATTGGTGGAATTTGGTTTTGGTACAGCAAGAGAACACAGATGAAGCAGCCGTACAACACATGCAATATTAATATTAAAAAAACGAATACAAACTGAAATGAAAAGACAAGCAAAACACAACCAAAAATCAAGGCCATACATAAACATTAACCTTACATTTGGCAAACAGATTTGTAGAAGAGAAGCTGACGGGAGGCTAAATATCTGAAGGGGGGGAGTTCAAAGCTCATAATGTAGTGGGAAAGGAGCTAAGGTGAGCATGGCACAACTGGGATATGTGACAGACAGAAAGCACAGGCTGGGGGAAAACACAAATATTTGCTTCAGCTCTGATCCATTAATCTGGATGGGGGCAGGGGTATTGTTAAAGTCATTATTGTCTGTGTCTACCTCCTCCCCCACCCTATTACCATTAGTCCTCCACCTTGCCCTCCCCCAGTGCCAGGCTCAGCACAGATACCCCTGTTATTATGCTACAAGTGGTTGAGTTGTCATTATTGAGGAGCTGATAAGATTGTTTGCCGTGTGTCTGTAAATCTTTTTTTAGAGTTTACTCACTGTTTATTCTCAGTGAATTTGGCTGGGTTACCCTTGTGTACAGATGGAGCCAGACAGAGGGTCTGTATTTGTTCTCTGCGCACTTATTACAGTTCTCCATTTTAAACTAGAATCTTTCATCCCAAAACAGGCCCTTTTTATGGACCACTCTTGGAGTTGTTTTACTGTCCAAAAATGCCTTGGTCCACTAGAAGATTTATGTCTGGGAAATAAGTAATAATTATTAACCCTATTATTATAATTACTGTGGAGGGCCGATATGTGATTTTCTACACTACAAAGTTTTCTCTTTTTATTTTTAGCTGTGGTGATGTTGTGTATCCATGCTAGCTAAGTGAATCTAAGGATTTATTGGAACAACACACCCATTAAGGGCTGGATTGAAAATTTTTCAACCCCGTCTACATTATTTAACTGTTAATTGTTTGCTGGGAATGAGCCAAGGTAAAAAACACAGTGTCGCTCTGTCCTCAGTTTCTGCCAGCGTCTTACATGTTGGTCTAAAACACAGTTTCAGTGTTCAAAGACACAGAACCAAAAATAACTGGATGGAATGACCACTCACATTGCTGTTTTGCTTTGTTTTTCTAAAGCTGAAGTGATAAAATACATCCATGGACTTCTGACATAAAGAGCGTGGTCAACATTTGAGTTGACTTCCAGTTCTGAAACTGTTTTACATTTCTAAGATTTTCTGTCTTTTTCTACACCCCTCAGTGCGCTAAGGTAAATATATTGTGATGTCTTGACAGCGTAGCACTGAATCTACCATTTAGACCTATCCACTTCCAAAGAGAAAGAATGCAAATTCAACTGAAAATATGTTCTTTAGCAATGAAAATACAAAGAAAAGATGTAATGTTGTCTGTGTTTTCCTTCTCTGGCTCACTTGTTGAATTAGTTAATGGGTCTTGTGTTATTCTCTGGCACTGTTTCCTCTAAGATTGCTATCTGCCACAATAACAAAGTATCCCTTAAGCTATATCACCTGGAAAGACTGGTCCAGGCTGGCTGTTGGAAAGTGTACAGGGAATTAACTGTAAAGCAAACTGCTTAAAAGTAAACAAACACCAGAAGAACAAAAAACTTGTCAAACCTGAAATAAAGAGTGTTTTCTGGAGTTTGCAAATGCAGTGCAATATTGTTCTCACTTTTTTATTAGTCCAAGTATTTGGAATAGTTTGAAGGTATAATAGAGGGACCGAAGAAAGAGAAATTAGAGAAATGTCTTGCACTGAAGCAAAAGACTTTGAATGACATCCTGATAATTGGACTGTATAAGAGCAAAACCTAAAAGAGGTTTTAGATGGTATACTCTATTAAAATAGAAAAATCTACAACATCTCTGTTTTTGTCTTGTTTGATCATGAAAATCGTTAGCTCCTCTCTTTCCTTTTATTCTGTTAGGAATTAGGAATCTGTGGTAACAGTTCACCAACATTGCTAAAGGACTTCATCCAGCAGTTGTTTGTTTTTACCTTTTTAAACTGTAAAGGAACAAGTAATAGGTTTATGCCATGCTGAAAAGAGAAGAAAGAAAACGTAACATTTTGTCCATGGAGCCTTCTTCGGGTGTAAGCTGCAAAATAGCTGCAAAAAAACGCAAAAAAACTGCAAAATAATTCTAGTCAAAAGACTAGAAGGTCAAATGCCTTCACTGTAGTACCTGAGGCTGATTTTATTAAATGTTAGATTTCGTCTGGACAGTATTTTGGTTTACCACGGGACATGCACCCAAAAAAAGCTTTTAGAGCACCTTTTTTTGTCCAATAAAATTTAGTTCTGATGAATCCTTCACCAATATAAAGACATGTTGTTTCTGTGAGTGCCTTTCTGCCTCATACTGAGTTCACCCTCCAATTATCCCTGATTAAAGCGGTTGGAGAACTTTGAAACAAACTAGCTGAACTTTGACCCTGGCAGCTGCTGCAGGGCTGCCTCCAAACTTTGTTTATTCAGTTCGTTCTCGCTTCTGATTGGTTGCTGTCTGTATCCAGGCGGGTTTCCTGCTCTCCAGCAAAAGTTTCCCAAAAGTTCAGGTCTACCAAGGCCGCAGTACATGCCAGATATCCAGGCCATCTGAAACTGGTTAAAAAGTGTAATTAAAAGAAAATGCTGCACAACCACTGTGGAACCAATTCATTCTTTTCAAATGCATGTCCGGGCCAGGTTGAGCATGAGTCTGCTCCAAGCACCACAAGAAACATGATTTTATCTGGAAATAGGATTTTAAAGAATTTGCTACAGTGGCATGGTTTTGTTAAAAAGAAAAAAGTCAATATCTGTCATTTTTAATTGCAGGCAAATATATGCGGTCTCCATATTACATTGCTCTATGAGGTGATAAATGAAGTCTGGACAAGTTATTGGTGGAGAAATACACCCATATGTTCTAAGTCTATACTTCCTTGTAATTATTTTCTCATTTTGTAAATCTCCACTGGACAGGAGTAACAGGGGATTTTACAAAGCATCACATATAAAGTATGAGACAAAAACCCAGGCAGTGCGCTGTCTTCACTGATTTCCCCAAACAAAGTAACTCGGCGAGCTCTCTCCCTCTTGGCTTGAACACTGTAGTACTCCGGGAAAATGGAATAATCTGCAGGAAAGAGTGCGTACGTACGTGCCAGCCGACTGTCTCCCAAATCGCTTCTTTCAGAGGCCTGGCCCAGGCTTGGCTCGGGTTCGGCCCCGTCTTGGCAGGCGTCCTGCGTCACCTTGGCTGGGCTCGGCCCGGACTCGCCAAGGCCAGCCCCTCTAATCACCACAGCTCCCCCGAGGCGCCTTCCCCTGGGCTCTGTCCGCCAACTTCTCCCGTCCTCCCAGGCAGACAACAGTTGGGCCCTGAAGACAGATCTCCTTGTTGCCATTTGGCTAATCCTGCTTGCTTCGGCAGCACACATACTAAAATTGGCTAATCCTTTCCTCCAACCGTACTCTTATTTAACAGGACCCCACTTCTGTGCGGGGCTCAAGACACCACAGTACACCGCTGTAAAATTTCTGAAGCAATCACAATCAAACAGTAATGACGTAAGATGGGGCAGGAGCTTTGTTAACTTATTTGTTAGATTTATTTCAAGCAAAGATATTTGAAAAACAAAAAAACACCTCCTTTCTGACTTACAGGTGGTAGTTTCGCTTGTGAAGAATGTCTACGGATCTTAATGTGTTTCTGCAAATAGATTTTGACTACACGCGTGTGAGGACAGCTTTCATTGTCATCTGTGAGACAAAACTGTGACCTGCTGTCCCTTTTTTTGCATCAGGGAACCAAAATGTACCAGTTTGTTGGGGAGCAGAATTACAGTTTAACACAACTAAGGTTTAGGAAGCTTAGAGGACAGTTGTTTGAAATGTCTGACGCCTGGGCCTTGTCTACTGCTTCAGCCTTCATGAACAGCCATTTGAAAGGACGTGTGAAGGCAGGCAGGCCCAGTGGTGCATTTATTGATTTATATGTGGCTTAAATTACAAAGAAAGGCCTCCTTTTCATTTCACCCACTGTTTATAGCTTCACAGCCCCCGTCACGCAGGAACTCACATGGTCTGGCGCAAGACTTTGATTTCAAAGAGCAGGGACAAATAAAAAGATTTAAAAAATAAATAAATTAAGCATTAAAAAAGAGAGAGAAGAAAAGAAGCTATGCTTTACGCTCATTGGCTGGCTCTGCCTGTTGCTGTAGAGAGTCGTGACTTTTTGAGACCTAAACTGCTCGACTCCCACTTACTTCCTGTGCAACGAATAGCGTAGCGACGCTGCCTCTCGCGGCCTGCCGCTGTCTCTGGGCAGAAAAGGCACACAGCTGCTCTGTAATCAACACCAGCCACTCCTGGTGCAGCTGAGGGGGTGTAAAAAGGGTGATTTGTTACATCTCATTCATACCTTGAAACTAAGTGGGTGAATGGATGCTTACAGATACATGGGTGGCTAAACTGCCCGTTTTTTAAAAAAGCAGGAGCCTGCAAGTATCTGTTTCCACCAGCTGTACTTCAGGGTTAGGCCCGGGGTTGGGTTACATTTAGGGTCACGGCTGGGACTGTGAGTAGATTCCTCAGGAGCCACAGCTGCTCCTGTAGAGACTGAACGTGTGTTTATGTCATAAACAGAACGTCGGGCGGGCGTAACTTCAAACATACCAAGGGAAGAGAGCAGAAGAAAAAAAACAAGGAAGTAAAACCCTGTTGCACCTACCTCTCTTCAAAAGATACGTCTTCTTCAGCTTCAGAGGACTTTTTTTAAAAGGTTTGAGTTGACTAATGGCGCTGGCTGTTTTATTTTATTTTCCACAAGTTTTTAAACAGCCAGAAATGAAGCCTGTGTAAAGCTCTTAAAATAAACGACTGAGGTGGCTGCGATCTGAGTGTGGGAGGTGTGCTTGCAGAAGGGCTTTGTCGTGGTTGTTTACCAAACGTTTTTACCCCCCACCCCCCCTTCTCAGAATACAGTGGCTTCAACAAAGTTCCCATTGTGTCTTTTCATTCTGCTGGGATGGCAGACAGGGATTCCTGCTCTGACAGCTGCCTGGGTGCCTGGAATCTGGATTACCTTCCCTCAACACTGTGCAGCCTGACCAGGGGAGGGGGGAGGAGACCCAGGCATTAACGCATGAAAATCCCCCTCCTCCTCCTCTCTCCCCTCCCAATTCTCTTTCTCTCTTTCAACAAACCGCAGCATTGTGACAAAACAAGAGGCCTTTCGCTCGATACCAAAACAGACAGCAGCTGTTTCCACTGAAAATAAAAAAACTGTCGCGCATTAACCCCTGCTCGTGTGGCAGCTTTTTAACTCCCATTCGACCTGAGGCCTCTCTCTTTTCCTTTATTCCTTCGAATAAAAAATAAGAATTGCACTGAAAAATGAGCGCAGTGATGAAATGGACTCGCCCAAGATAAACAGGCTTTCTCCCCCCTTTGTGACAGTTGGTACACTTGTTTTTTCCTCCCCTTCTTCTTCCTCGGCTGTGGCTGAAGAAACAAGCGACTGACTTCCCACCACCTCGCTCTGGGAGTTCTTGAGTCACAAAAGGGCAGCCATCATGTCCTGCAAAGAAAATAACCAGAGACGCACGAAAGGAAAAGGAAAGACAGAAACATTTAGCAAAAAAAAAATTCTTTAGTGTTTGTATCACTGGCACAGAGTGATTTCACAAATGAATCACTGGGCTGGGCCGGACACTAAGGTGCATAGGGTCCAGAATGCACCTCAGGCACTCTGAGTGGTGGATGAGCCTGCAGGGGATCAGCACCGAGGGGCATATTTACATATAGGTGTTGGAGAATGACAAGAGTTTTTACTGAGCCTTAAGTCTGGTCCCACCCAGGCCCTCCATCAGCACAATCTCATAGACTGTTACTTAGTCACTCATTGCAGGAGGCAAGATAAGGCAGGAGATTAGATTGGATGGCACAGAGGGCTCGGATTTCAGTAAGAGAGCAGGTCTTTATCACTCTAAAGCTGCAAATGAGTGGAGAGCATGTGGCCCATCTAGCCCATTGGTAGTTAATTGATCCAAGGATCTCATCCAGTGTTTTTTGAAGGAATCCGGGGTAGCACTTTTAAAAAACATGGATGGGTAGCGTGTTCCAGACTCCCACACTGTAAAGAAGTGCCTCTTGTTCTCAGGTATAAACGCTCTCCCACATAGTTTCCTCTTGCGTGCCCTCTGGTTAATGGTTCAATGTTCACACCGGAAAAAAAATAACTCCACTGGGTTGACAGGCTGAGCAAAAAACCCTTTAGAAAGGCAGCAGTTTACAAATATAAACATGCTGCTGTCTGCTCATGTACAGATGCAAACGCTTTCTCTTTGCAAGGCGATATAATTTGCTCATTAGGCAAGTATTTGCCAATTGACCTTTAAGGAAGTTACTCATATACAGAGAGGTGGTTTTTGTGGAGACTTGATCAAAGCAAACCTGAATAAAAAATACTGGCTGAGTGCAAAAAAAAAAGCATGATTAAGAAATCAAACATGTACTTTTGGACCTGAGGGTAGGGCAGTGGCTGCTATTATACATATGAGTGTGCAGGAAATTCTCAGAAGTATTAGAAACAGCACTAGCACCAGGGCACAGGCAAACTGCAGTGGAGCAGCATGGCTCCCTCTTTTGCTTTGTCCATGTCACTTCAATTTCTGTTGCTTTTCTCCAGACTTGAGATTTACTGGCTTGAGGTGGCTTCCTGAATAAAACACAAGACCCCTTTTGGTCAGGTGTCTTTATTTTTTGAACAGTTCAACGGTGCGAATCAGCATAGTGGCACTGGAGTTGGTTGTGCTGGAATGGGTGGGGAGTCCTTTCCCAGAAATATAATGTGTAACTTGGCTTTGGATGGGTAGCGACAAATTCATCACCCATATGAACTACACTAACCATACCAGTGCTGGGAGATGAAGGGGAAAAAAGGCAGACAATGTGATCTCTGTCTAACAGGAGTGAGGATGGGTTATCGTGTGGTCAGAGATTGCATACCGTTGTATGGACACATGCAAGCTGGAGGTCAGCTTTATATAGTGAGGAGATGCTAGGGTCTCTGATAGCAGGAAGCTCTGTTTTCCTCTCATTCCCTTTACCAAACAGCAATGTCTGTTGAGCTGTTTTGGAACAGAGGAATTTGCCAATTGTAATCTGTAATTCTTCACGGTCCTCTAGCGCTGAGTGGGGTGATGTTTTGGCGGTTAGTGGAATGCTTGGAAGTGCCGATGTATTTTTAAACCATCAGCTGTGCCAGAGAGTAAGACAGCTGCACCTCAGACTTTAAAGGATTTTACCAATCTTCCCTCCTTTAAAAGCATTTTAACCCAGTGGCAGTTGCTTAAAATGGAGAAGAACCCGTTTAAGAATGAGTTCATTGCAAGTTAATATTCCCTGATTTCAACTTATTTCAATCGGTGTACGTGTCGATGCCGGTGCTGAAAATGGGAGTAGGGTGACCAGACGCCATCAGCATTGTTTACAGGACGGCCGCTCATTTTTCTAGATCCATTAAGATGGTCGTTTTAGTTTAGTAATGGCTAAAAAAAAAAAACATGAACACTTTGCAGCTCTCATAGCTCAGGATTGACCAGAGCCCCCTCTTGACCTGTGTGAACAAGTCTCTGAAAACTGACAAGAAGTTTAAATCTGACGCAGGCCCGTATAAAATAATGGTTTAGGTCAAGGGACGGATGATTCCTGTCCTTGAGGCCTTCAAGGTCTTCCGTGAACAAACTGTTTGCTTTGGATAAGAAGTCTAATGTTGTAGATTAAACTTCTAGGTCAACTATTGCTTTAGGTCTTTATCAGCTGCTAAGTGGAAAACCTGCTGGTCTCTGTCCCTGGAGGTTTGGATCTACCCACCCTGGTAACCTACAGTGGTGGCTGGACTGAAAACCCGGAGTTCTTCAGGGCTGGGACTGGGACCTCCTGAGGTTGAGGTGAACAGTGAGGTGTCAGATCTGTCGATGACAGATTCTTGTGGTAGGATCGTACCTGGAGTGGAGGAGGTGGATAACAGAGGAGTGTTTCTTGTTGATATAAAAAATCCAAGAAATGGCTGTCTTATGCATTGGGCTCAACAGCCTGTTACACCAGCCAGCTCCTCAAAGGTTAGTTTCACATACCGTTTCTAATACTAACAATAACAATATCAGACAAGTACATGTATATAGCAGGGTGACGGTCATCTTATGCAATAGATGTGACTATGACATAAATCTGGGTTGTTATTTCTCTACAGAAAGCAAACTGGCAATATCTCCCCCCTTTTCAGAATGTGACGGTAAAGGAAGCCTTCATTGCACACCGCAATTTCATCTCTGTACATCTGCCCAATACTTCCTCATTTTCCTTTCTTCTCTTGCTGCTGCTGCTGGTGGTGGTGATGGAGGAGGGGTGGTAAGCGTGTCTGCAAGCCAGCCAATCAGTGCTTTGTTGCTGGGGCAGGAATGGTCACATGACCACCACATGGGTGGAGTTTCCATTTGTTGTGAGTTTCAGAGAACCTGATTACCCAAACATAGTGTCCCAGTGACTGCAAGAAGCACCACCGAAAAACAGCAGATGTGAAGATGCTAGACTATGTTTTACAAGCAGGCACGCTTTCCTAAGAGCTATTGACACGATTCAGTGCCTTCAGCCACCCTACATCCAAGATCATTCATGTTAATTTGAGCACATCAGTGTTTGGTTTATACTTCATTTGTTGTGAAGAAGTAGTTATCAGAATGAATACACAAGTGCCCAAGCACTGAGCTTTTGTTCCTTGTGATAAAGGAGTCACCATAAAAGGCAGTGCAGTAGCCTAGTGTACGTGACTAGCCTAAGAAAAGAGCTGAACACAGAACATGTCAGTAATGATGAAAAACAAACCTCTCGACCTCTGGCACAACTGAAACATCGAGCACAACCCTGAGAGCCTGCTCTAGCACTTAGAAACACAGTAACAGGAAATACAAAAGCCTTCTAAATAGTGCGTGGGTGTGATGAGAAATGAGGTTTCATATTTCATACCTTGACTAAACTTATTTTAGTCTGTTTATACGTAAGACATTTTAGATTAGCACTTCTTAAGCATGTAACATAAGCACGGTACTGAAAATCTAATAAGTACAATTTCAAGAAACTTACAAGCCACCTTACCTCAGGTGTATTAAGGCCACATGCTCTGTGCCCTTTTTCTATTCTGTAGCTTTTGTTTCAGATGAGAGTTTTGTTTCAAAAGCTTGCATAGCTAGCTCTGTGTTCAAAACACCCAAGGGGATGAAAGAAAAAGCAGGCCAGCATGAGGGATGATTTCTGGACGTGCCTTCTCAAAACACTGATATATTATTTATTCTGGTGGGTGAAACCTTGTTGCTTCACCATTTGATTAACACATTGTAAACATGAGATTGTAAAGGTTTGCTGAATAATCATTTCTTGAATTAGTGAAATGCTGCTTTGCTCAAAACCAAAGTCTGAGATAGTGCTGTCTTAATCTCTCATTCCTAGGTTAGCTATAGGAAAAACAACTCCACAAAGACATACTCTATTAGGCTCTTTTCAGTAATCTGGCAATCAGCAGATTTTTCTGTTCTTTATTAGTAGCTGTGGTTGTTAGGATTCCTCACAATTTGCAGTATTGCGGAGAGAATAGCGTGTAGTCTAAATAACGATAAACATGCAGACCTAGCCGAATCATCCTACTCTATGCTGTAAAAAAGTGATTTGCATGTTGATCTTATCTGAGCCCAAGAAGGTATCAGACTGAGATCTGAATTCACTGGAATGAGAAATTGAATAAGGGCTACAACTGACAGATTTACAGTTAATTGAATGGATTTGCATTTAATAATTAATCCCTTTACTTGCAGATTAGTAGC